GGGCAATAAAAAGAACAAATGATTAGCATTCAATAGCATCATCACTTTGCCCTATCATATGTTTTCAATTTAATTTCAGTTTTATATGTCTTCATTTACCTAGCGCCATCTACATGCAAGGAACTATGTTTAGGTATTGGGGATGTTAACCTTTAACAAATAGACACCCAGATATTTCTGCAGCAAAATAGCTTTTTTGAGAACAAACACTTGCAATTCAGGACATGCAGTCTAATGGCCAATTCAGAGAAACAAAGGAGAGGTATGCTCTTTTACAGACTTGGGAGGGTATATTGTAGATAAAGAGTCCATTGGAGGAAATGGAAAGTTTGAAGTATAGTGACTTTTCATTGGCTGAGTTATATCATTCTCCCATTGGCTGAACTGTTATGGGCAAAGAGGAATTTTCTTCCTCCTGCTGAGATGGTCAAGTAGTATCACTTCTTATCCAATATTCAAGGCAGGTTGCCGGGCTTCTTGTCCCAGCATCAAGAAGGGTTCAGGAATCTGGAGAAGGCTGTGTGTAGATTTTAAATAAGAGTCCAGAGACGAAGTATAATTTTGAAAGGCATTTGGGGGTTAGAGGAGCTTAGCTAAAGGAGCTAAGATCCAAGATCTAAATTCTCAGGTCTCCTTGTCTCAGGACCCCATGCTTTTTATTAACACAATTTGTCCTGAGGGGAGGCAGAGATATACACTTCAAAGGGTCAGGGTTTCCTACAGAGTCCATTGTCAGAATGGGGGAATTAGCCTATGGCTGTTCAGGTGTTTGGCCAGTAGGAGGCAATAACATGTAGATTAAGATGCCTTTTAGCTGTCTGGCAGCCAAGCAATAATCCCTTTTCAGGTTTGGGGAAATGCCTTCAGCCATTCCCAGATGCAGCCCTGCTGTCATGCTGGAATTGGTCTCAGGCAGCAAGTCACTTCCTGTTGGGGTCAGTTGGGTGCCCATACCTGAGAGTTTTCTCTTCCTGCTTCCTGAATGCATTTTAAATGAGGTTTCTGTTTCTTAATTTTCACAGGGATATAATGAAGAAAATAAAGTGCCTGTCTTTGTGAAGCTTATATTATAGTGATTCACACAGTCAACATAAAAAGGAAAAAAAAATAATGATTAAGAGAAATTTTCTCAAGGAAAAAAAAAGCAGGCTTGGGGTTAGGAGAATGACAGAGCTGAGGTCAGTAGGTTTTAGGTAAATTGGTCAAGGTCTACACCTCTGTAGAGGTGATCCTAACCTCCTCCCCTCAGAGATCTGTCATCTATTCCAAGCTCCATGCCTCAGGCAAGATTTTTAATCTGTTGGTTCTCAATTTACTCATCTGTAGCATGATGATAATAAGATCTATCACATAGAGTTGTCCCAAGGATGGAATGAGATAATCCATGTAAATGTTGGTCAAAGGTTATAAACTTTCCATTATATGATGAGTAAATTCTGGCAATGTAATATAGAGCATGGTGACTATAGTTAATAATACCATATTGTATACTTGAAATGTTCTAAGACAGTAGATCTTAAGTATTCTCACCATAAAAGAAAAAGGTGCCTAACTGAGGTGAAAAAAAATAAAGTTAATTGGAACAGCGCCTCCATAATGATCATTATTCTAGAACCCATCTGCCCAGTACCAAGCACACGTGCCTCTTGAGCAACTGACCTGTGGCTACGTTTAAATGAGAAGTACTGTTGGCGTAAGCACACCAGATCTCAAGGATTGGTATGGGAAAAATGTGTTTATTACTTGTTTATATCAGTTAAATAACTAAATAATATATTTTCAAAATTAATTTTGCCTCATTATTATTTTTTATTTTAATTTTAACTTTTTTGGTTAATCCTCACCTGAGGATATTTTCCCACTAATCTTGAGAGGGGAAAGGAGGGGGAGAGGCAGAGAGAGAAACATTGATGTGAGAGAGACACATCAACCTGCATGTGCCCTGACCAGGGCCAGGAATCAAGCCTGTAACCATGATATCCAACCAGGGACCCTGTAGTCTGCAGGCTGACGCTCTATCCACTGAGAAAAACTGGCTAGGGCTAATTATTGTTACTTTTTTAATCTTTATTGTTGAAAGTATTACGTATGTCTCCATACCTTACTTTTCTCTGCTCATGCAGGAGTCTCCTCTCATTCAGTCTCTTCCAGCCACTGTGGCCAATGTGGTTTTCTTGGCACTGGCCTGCCTTCTGCCTCAGGATATCCATCCATACTTTTCCAACTTGCTGTTCCCTCTGCCAGACTCCCTCCCTCTCCTCCTTCAGGTTCCTTCAATTGCCATCTTCTTCCTGAGGCCTTCCTTGAACACCACCCCGCAGCACTGCTTAGTACCATTTCTTGCTTTGTTCATAGAACTTACCACTGGTTTGTACCTGATTATTATTTATTAGATTTTTCCCTTCCTCACCAGAACACAAGCTCCATGAGGGCAGGGATCATCACTTTTTTTTTTTGGGGGGGGGGGCGTTCATACCATATCAAATACCTACAATTGGTCCAAGAACAGACAACATGTTTGCTAAATATTTGTTAAATAATTGACTTTTTACAAATAATGAAGGGAAGTAAGAGAAGGGTGACATCCTTCAGTATGATCAATTGCTGGAAAGCATAGAAATCAACGTATTTCTAATGTAGCATGCTTAATATGAAGAAATTCTTTGTGGTCAGAGTTGAAAACAGAGGCTGGATATATAAACCATGAAATATGGTGTTATGGGCTGCGTTGTATCTTCTAAAATTTGTGTGTTGAAGTCCTAATCCCCAGTACCTCAGATTATGACTTTATTTGGAGAAAGGCCTTACAAGAGGTAATTAACTTAAAATGAGGCCTTAGGGTGGTCCTAATTCAAAATGACTAATAGTTTTTTTTACTGTTTTTATTTTTGATTTTTAGAGAGGAAGGATAGAAACATCGATAGACTTTATTTGGAGAAAGGCCTTACAAGAGGTAATTAAGTTAAAATGAGGCCTTAGGGTGGCCCTAATTCAAAATGACTAATAGTTTTTTTACTGTTTTTATTTTTGATTTTTAGAGAGAGAGGAAGGATAGAAACATCGATGAGAGAGGAAATGTCATTGATTAGCTGCCTCCTGCACGCTCCCACTGGGGATGGAGCCAGAAACCCAGGCATGTGGCCTTACCAGGAATCGAAGTGTGACCTCTTGGTTTTTGGGTTGATGCTTGACCACTGAGCAATACCGGCCAGGTAAAATGACTAGTAATCATATTAAGAAGAGAAAGCTGGACCTGGACTTTTACAGAGGAAAGAGGACTATCTACAAGCCGAGGACAGAGGCTTCACAAGAAATCATTACTGTTGGCATCTTGAGCTCAGACTTCCAGCTTCCAGAACAGTGAGAAAAGACTTGTCTGTTGTTTAATCCACACACTCTGTGGTGCAGCGGTTCTCAACCCCCCTTTGGGGGTCGAATGACCCTTTCACAGGGGTCGCCTAAGACCATCGGAAAACACATATATAATTACATGTTGTTTTTGTGATTAATCACTATGTTTTAATTATGTTCAATTTGTAACAATGAAAATATATCCTGCACATCAGATATTTACATTATGATTCATAACAGTAGCAAAATTACAGTTATGAAGTATCAACGAAAATAATTTTATGGTTGGGGGTCACCACAACATGAGGAACTGTATTAAAGGGTCGTGGCATTAGGAAGGTTGAGAACCACTGCTGTGGTGTTTTGTTTTGGCAGCCCTAAAACACTAACATAATGATATATGCCATTGTAAGGAATTTTGACTCTTCACATGAGCCCCTGTAAATTTTAAGCAGGGAGAGATGCGATGAGGCCTGAGTTTTAGGAAGATTGAATGTGTGGTAATATGGAAGAAGGTTGGAGGAGGGCAAAGGCTTGAGGCCCAAACACTAACTTGGATGTATTTACAATGGTTGTGGTCTACCTCATGGTGAAAGGAAGGAAGAGGCAAGTATGGAATTGGGGAAGCACCCGAGCCAGTACTGTTGGAAACTTAGACACAATAGAGATAAGTGATATTGACATCTGCCACAAAAAGGGATTTAGAAAAATGCAGACCCGCAAAGGGGTTCGGAGAATAAAACTTGCATGGACTGTAAGTTCTGGTTTCATACTTGAGAAAATTTCTCAAAATGGAACCTTAAAACAGATTATAGCAGCATTCTGCTGCTCAGAAGGGGTTCGGAAAATAAAACTTGCATGGACTGTAAGTTCTGGTTTCATACTTGAGAAAATTTCTCAAAATGGAACCTTAAAACAGATTATAGCAGCATTCATGCTGCTCAGGATGTGAATAGTATTCATTGAAAAAAGGAGTCTGCAGAAAGAGCTGCAGGCTATATCTCCTTTTGGGGATAATAATACCATACCAGTACATCAACTTAGCATATTAAACATCAGCATATTAAAGAATCTGGGAAGTTCTGCAATGAAGAAACTTCTATAACTTTGGCCAAAAAAAAGGGGGTATTTTCAACATTGATTTGATTATACAACGCTTTTTGTGAGGCACTGCTGAACCTCTCCCTGAACATGAGTACTCTAGAAATTAACACAGCGTGGAGAATAGTGGTAATTCTGATGCAGTAGAATGTTTCCAAAATAAACAGAGAAGCTTTGTCTGGGTAATCTTTGTTCCCAATAGCAAATCTAGTCAGCATTGTCTTAAATTGGCAGCATAAACTCATTAAAGGAATATAGTTGGTTTTCCCATAACCTAATTATTACCAAATTTTCAAAATATCAGAGTCTTTTTGAAGTAGCACTATTTTTTTCATGTTCCAAAAGGAAAACTATTCAGTGCCTTGAAACAAACAAACAAACAAACAAAAAATAGTAATATTCTGCTGACTTAAGGGAAAAGTGCTCAAATGCAGAAATCTGAGAGCCATTTTTGACCAGGTTTTTTTGATGCTAGAGCAGCCACACTCTAAATTTTCCCATATCCCACCGCCCCCCCACACCCACAGGGTCCGTGCACAATGACTCACATGCGATGCGCACGTAGGCCTTCCGGCTCTTGGTGGTGCCCGCTGAGCTCCAGGCCACACACTGGCACCAGTAATCATCAGGCCCAAAGAGTTCTTCCACTTGCTGGCGCGAAATCTCAATGCTCACTTCCCGGACAATGAGACCTAATCAAAGAAAGGAAGAATTAAGTCTGGAGAAGATTTGTACTAAAGAAATACAAAACATCATACCACACTTTTTTTCCACTCCGTGATCCTTCCTGATGCCATAGATCAACATCCCAGATATTGCCTCTCATCTCCTCTGATTTTCCTCTGGCTCCAGTAACTTGACTCACAACTTTTTCATTCTCTTATTTGCTTTTTCAAATCTTCTGGATTCATCAGAAGATGAAAGTGAAGATCTATTATTCCACAAAATTACGCTTTTCCTCATATGGCCTAATAGTCATCCTCTACCAAGTTATCTCCTCCTGTATATTTAAATGTGAACTTGAATTTCACAGCTTCTAAGGATTCTACCTCAATTACATAGGCTGTGGGTAAGAGACCCACATGCTGTACAGAGAATTACAGATCTAAATCTTCTTAAGAAGATTTAGTTCACATGAAATGAGAGGGAACCACCTAAAACTATAATCATAAGTGCATAAGTTAGAAATATGTATACCTACATATCAGGTTTTATCATATCAGCAAGTAATTTATAAATATGTGGTGATTATTTAACAATTAAATTATGTTAGCAGATGTGTTTCAGTTATTAGGCACACATTTTCTGGAAAGATATAGTAGCCCCAGGTAACAAACCTCTACTATTCTATCCAAAGAATGTATGACTTTACGGTTTTCAGGCATAATATTTTAATAGCACAAATGTTTCTCTATAATTGTGATGTAACCAAAATCCTGTTAAAGATAAAGTGGTCTCCAGCTAAAATGCTCAAATACTTAGAATTTGTTTCAAAGAATTACGTAATCCTAAATAACATAAATTTAACTGAGAATCTGGGATTATCATTTTAGGGGTGTTTATCTTGAGGATTCAAAGCCTATTTCAGAGATTCATTCTGCAGTTTGCATCTTTGCACTGAGCAACAACAGAGATCTACAAGATAGATGTGCGTGACTGTCAGTTCTCCTAGAGACTGAACTTGCACTTTCCAGATGGAGTGTCTATTGAGAGAACTAACAGGGCACCCTTGGGGAGTAGAAGAATTTGCTCTGCGTCAAGTATGAGCACAGGAAGAAAGTTTAAACATATTACTTTCTACCGTCGACTCATTCATTCATTCATTTATTAATTCATTGAACAAATATTTATTATGTATCCATTATATAAAAGACACTGCCCTAGGCTGTTGGGAAATGATGAGGAAGATGGTGATTTTCCTCAATGAACTGATATTATTGTGAAGAAGGAACATATTAACTACAGATCGTACAATTTATTATTTAATCATAATTGTGTTCAGTGCTGCAAAGGAGACATATAGGGACACAAAATGAATAACAAGGGGAATAAAAGACCCAATATGAATTATGTTTGTTAAATTATATGGGGAGAGTGACAGGGCATATGGAAAGAAGCAGGAAAGAGAATGGGAAGACTGAGGTTCCAGGAGAAGATAAGCCCCAGACACAGAAAATAATGGCATGGATGCAACTAGAGATGAGAAGGGGACCAGTTTTTACACAGTCTTGTAGACTAGTGGTTCTCAATGTGGACCCCAGTACAGCTGTGCTAACATCACCTGGAATTTGTTGGAAATGTGAATTCTTGGGCCCCACTTCAGACTCAGAATCAATAACCTTGAGAATCAGGCCCAGCAATCTGTGTTTTAACAAAATCTCTAAGAACTCTGATGCACGCTATAGTTTGAGAACCACTGTCGTATAGCATGGTTAGGGTTTTTAATTTCTTCCTGAGATCTATGGACATTATTAAATTGTTTTAAGCAAGTAGATGATATAATCAGATGATAATTTTTAAAAATACGTATGTAATGTATGTGCTAAGTATTATATATAGTTTAATTGGTTCTTTGGAGTTTAATTAGTTCCTCAAAGTTATGATTTCTTAAAATGTTTGATTATGACTTCTTGGTACAGGTGACATGAAAAGGGTGTCATCTAGAGATTTTAAAAAAAGTATCCCAGAACTTACCCTAAAAACCAAGGATAACAGCACTCAGGGAAACTAACAATTACCCAATAAAAGTAGTTGCTGACCCACTGGAGAATAAACAATATTTCCAACAAAAGCTGATGGGACTTCGAGTCACAGAAATGACCAAGCCCTTAGGTTCATTCACGAGTCTCTGAACTGGGATGAAGCCCAGGAAAGTGGGTTTTATAATCCTCAGTCAGGGAAAGACCCTGAGGGGTAAGTCTATATTGTCAAGACTTACTGAGTATACTTAACATTATTTTGAAAGTTAGTAATTCTCTTATGTTTATATAATGATCAGCTTAAAATTCTTTTTCAAGTAACTGGAATATTCCAATCCCTCACTCCCCTATGAAGAGATTAGTATATATTTTAGCCAATGTCCAACTAACAAAATATCCTCCACAACAAAAATTCCAATTTAGTAGCAAATACTACTTTCCTTCCTCTTTCCTGGCCCCTGCCTAAGCCCCTCATTTCCTATCTTATTGTAACTATTGTCATTTTCCCGACATCTAGAAATCCATGCAAAGATGGATCACCCCATTTCCATCCCTCCCCCCACCTTTTTAAAAATTCCACTTTCTGGTGTTGAATACTTTTGCCTGTTTTACTTGTTTATACCTTCTCTCTTGGTGCAGAAATTCACTTACTGGAAACAAAGCTCTTCCTGTAAAGTTGCTGCAGTAATTTACAGTCACCAAAGGGCTGATAAACTTGCTGTCTGTATTTCCTTAGACCTATTATGGCTCTTTCCAAAATGCAGAGCAGCCACAAATGGGCTCAGGATATAAAACCACATACAAATATTTTCTGCCCCAAGATGATAACTTTAGGTTTCATTCCCCTCACCCCTTTTACTTAAAGCAATTACAGGAAACCTAATTAAATGCTAGGGGAACGTCACTAGGGCCACTGTAACCTTTTAGTTCAAGTACATTCTACTGACCACGGATCTGAAGCCTTTTAAGAAGCCACAGACCGACCCTCCTGTACAGGAATTATTCATAGTCTGAATGTTCTGAATTGTGTGGCCCAAGCTCCCTGTGGGTGCTGGAGTCAAGCACACACCGATTTTTGTCCTCAGCCTCACAGACACCCCATTCAGAAGGGGATGGATTGCAGTTGCGTACAGTTGTCCTACCACAGGCTCAAAGATTACTTCCAAATTTTGGTCAACAACACAAGAACAAGAAAGAACTGAACACAAAGTAATTAAACACAGCTTAGAATCCCTGAGAACCTGCTGCATTATTCAAACTCTGAGCTACTTGGTCACATACCACCTTTTCATTACCACGGGTACATTCACTCCCTATCCCATTTCGCTCATCAAACCAGAAGCCAGTGGTGTGGGTAAAAGCAGGTAATATCCTTTCTCATGGAAAGTAAAATTGCAAATCCGCTTGAAGTCTTGAGACAGAAAAAACAGGCTGCCTTGAAATTTGAAATGCCATCAGCATTACTTCCAAGGCGGGCTGCTTTGAAGAGCATTTGGGAACTTGAAATTGGTTTCAGGTTATTTAAAGGTGGGGAGGAAATGCTTCAATCTCCAGGACTTACTCAAACACAAATGTGCATTTCCCATCACATCTGATAACATCAAAGACTTCCCATCACTGTTCTTCCTTTAATAGTGGCGTCTCAAGGAGGCATGTTGTTTGAAGTTTGCAGTGATTTGCTTTTATAATAGGATTCATTGTGGTTTGGGAACCAGAGTGCAGGAAAGTAATTAGCATCATATACCAAGAAGTCTCATAATGAGTACAAATATGCACTTGTTAATAGGGAGTTTCAAATGATTTTAAAAATTCAGATGCAAGTGCAACTCTCTGGTTGGATTGTGGTGAGGTTATCCATGATTATGGCAATAAAATCTGCTAATTGACATCTATACCTTATCTCTAGCATAATTTTAATTTCATAAGAGTGGTCAGGCTCCACAAATAGTGCTGTTTTTTTAAAGAGAATACTATATAGGGATCACAAGTACATGATGAATCCTGTAGTATAATTATTTAAAACACGATCCATATTCCCCCAGAAATGTAACCTATAATGCTTCCAACAGGTATGAAAAGTCCATGAATGTCAAAATTACATTTAATTCCAGTAATGTAAAGATGGATCAAATATCACCTACAGCCTTCAGCGGTCATTTATCTTATTTATTAGGTGATATTTATTTATTTGTTTGTTTATTTATTTATTTATAAATATTTTTATTGATTTCTGAGAGGGGAGGAGAGAAAGAGAGAGATAGAAACGTCAATGATGAGCAAGAATCATTGATCAGCTGCCTCCTGCATGCCCCACACTGGGGATTGAGCCCGCAACCCCAGGTATGTCCCCAAACTGTGACCTCTTGGTTCATAGGTAGATGCTCAACCACTGAGCCACGCTGGCTGGGCTCTGAAGTGGTATTTAAAAAATTATGCATCATCCTAAAAGTTTTTTTTAAATGTGGCTATTAAATTTGTACCTTCTGATACCCCATGTATGTTTCACTAAAAAGCAGCCTAGCCCCACGTTAGACTTAGATGCCTGAGTTGTATTTCTCATCCCTCCTAGTTGCTTTGTCTTTCATCTGGCAAATTGAAGTTTTGAGATATCATGTTCTGCAGACTCCCTCCCACCCTCTTCGTATTGCGCGAAGAGCTACAGGGGTCACTGGGCAAAATCTCATTATGATACATTCACAGTTAGGGGTTGGTGGACAATGTACAAAACTGCAGGTAGGGATGTTCTGGAATATATTACATTTTATTGAATTAGTGTGGTCTCTTTTTCATGTTTTCTTCCAGAGCCTAATCATATTAGTTTTCACTAATATGGTCTAAAATATGAAACATATCAGTTCTAGATGTCTTAATATAAATTAAACCACACAAAACACCATCATTATTTAAAAGAATGTCATGCCATAACAACTGACAATTATTTTCACAATTTGTAACTCACTAAAATAATCAAAATATGATGGCTTAAAAGGCAG